TCATTTTGATAAGCTTACTTAGTTTACAAACATGACGAACCTCCGCAAAGTAGTTCTTTGGATTCCTGTTCAACACCATCTTCCCGACCGGAATCAACGGGAATTCACTGTGAGGCCATACTTTCGTCACATCAAAGGGATTCATCGGCCATTTCTCAGCTTGCTCGAATGTCATCACCTACGAATATTAACAATTAGACTTTTAGCGTGGGTTAACACACTATTGATTTCACTCGCACGCGCCGGATGATTAGGTTCATGATAATTGATTGATTTAGGCGTGCTAGCGCGGCGCGAGTGCGACGCGTATGCGCGCTTTTCACTGCAAAGACAATGCGTTCGCGGTATAAGTCATACCCACCTGGATGCAGAATTTCCACTCTGGATAGTCGCCTCTCTCGATAGCGTTATACAGATCGCGGATAGCATAATCTGGATCTTCTCCTGCTAGACGCGCCGCTTCATCAGCCATAAGATTCTTGATCTTTTGAGCCTAAAAACTGTCGATGCAGTCAGTAGTACATCAGGCTTCAAACCGATCTCTTACCTTAAAGTGGAATTTGCAATATACTGCCTTTCCCTCAGCATTGACCATCTTGAATGTGTGTGAGCCATAACCGTTCATATGACGGAAACCGTCTGGGGTACCGCGATCCGACATCAGGAACATAACCTGAATCGAAACACTACCTTATAATAGCCGGGAAGTATCTTCCGAATAGTGGTATACTACACAAAACGGACAATCGGCATTTGCCCTTGCTTGTCCGTAAAGGCACTATGCCACTGCTCACTAACCTGATGTATGCTTTCTGGGCGAAGACCCCAGAAATCCCACATGGCGTTCGCATCTTTCAGATGAGTTTGTGGATTTCTTTTTTGTGTATGGATGAAGTTCGGGAACAGAATAGGATCACGGATGAAGAAGATTGGTGTGTTGTTTCCAACCTAAATATTGTGTGATATATATTAAGGCTCTAGACTCTAATATCCGACTCCAAATAATTTTTTTTGATAGAAGCCTAACACATCCTGTTTGATCTAAAACTTACTCGTGAAAAGCAAGCTGACCACTGTCAATCTATCAGCAATACCCTTTGATTCAACCAGATAGGCGGCTGGGAGGCGTTTCGTGACTTAGTTGAGATTAGAGAGTGATCAGAGAGCATG